GGTATAGGGTCCAAAGTGTGGGGGTGCCCCATGTGTGGCCCTGTAGGAGTGTCCTGTAGAGGCCGTGTGTGTGTGTGTCACCCCGATGCACCTCTATACTTCCCTGTGAGACGGTCCTACAAGTCCCAGGGGGTGCGCTTACCCCCCATAAAGCTCTTTGAAGGGGGCCGGACAGAGGGGAATTTCCCCCTATATGGTCCTCAGAAAAGTCCTGTAGAGCCCAGGGGTGCCCCCACCCCCCCATATGGCCCAGTGAGGGAAGCTCTATAGAGCCCTGAGCGTGGATGTTCCTCTATATGGCCCTACGAGTGAGACACCCCCTTTTTATGGCCCATATGGGTTTCCGTACATCCTTCTGGTGGAATTGGGGTCCCTACTTTATGGCTGTGCCCTACAGAGCCCTGGGAGTGTGTGGGGGCTCCTCAATATGTCTTTGTGAGAGGGGAAGCTATACTGGGATGGACATTCCCCTCCCCATACAGCTCTATATGGGGTTCCCCCATATAGCCCCATAAAGGCTGAGGGTAGGGGTCCACCCCATATACAGCCCTACAAGGGAGGGGGGCATGGATACCCTTGGGGAGGTGTATATATAGACATATAGGTATATATAGGCCCCCACTATCCACCCTGCTATAGCGAGGGGGGGGCAGGAGGTCCCCTATATAGTCCTATAAGGGAGGCCCGTCCTGCCTGGGTGGGATTTGTGGACTTGGAGATGTTTGGTGATGTTTTTTTGGCATCTCATGGTGGTTTTTTTGAAGTTTCCAGTTTTTGGGGGGCATCACCTGGGTTGGTTGGTTGGGGTTTTTTTGGCATTTCCAGGTTTTTTTTGGCGTCTCCCGGGTTTTTTTGGCATCTCCCTTTAGCTGTCAGGTGCCTCAGCCATGGCACTGTTGCGTCTCTGCTGCAGTTTCCTCCAAAACCTTCCTTCTTGGTGGGGTGCTGGCGCAAAACGGGGTGCGATTTGCCACCCCTCGGGTCTTCTCCGGTGAGATGAGGGTTCATTAAGAGGCCTCATCATTAAGGGGGGGCTCCTCTGATAAGCTGGGGTTCGTTAAGAGAGGTGACGGCCGTAGGTCCGTCCGTCTTGCAGCCTTTCCACCTGCAGATGCGTTCGCCAAGCTGCTGGAGAAACTCCCGGCAGGCCGAGGGCACGGGCAGACGTGCCGCTGCATTTTTGGGACCCCTTTCTTGGATCATTTCTGAGAGAAGCACAAACAGTGAGTCACAAAACACCTTTCTCAGACTCTCTTTTTTTTGCCCCGAATCGACAAGCCCGACGCTTCACAACAAGACTTCGCCGGCGCCCGTGTGGATCCGCAGCTTTCGGAGAAGCTGAGCAGGGGAAACGGCATCCCACCTTGCCCACCTTTGTCACACGGATGTATTTTATTTATTTTAGAAGCTGCCGTTGGGTTTTGAGGCTGGATTTTTTCAGTCGTAGCTGGCTGGTGAGGCTGTTAGAGAGGAACGCGGCAGGATTTTGCTTTCTTACTTTTTCAAGCCATTTCCCGGGCTGTTCTCGTATCTCTGGGTACCGTTGGCGAAGAATTTGTTCTACCAAATCCTTCCTGCTTTATTTTTCTCCAAATTACAGCAGTGGTTGAGGCAGAACAGTCTTCTCCGATGACTTTTTAGGTTTAAATTGCTCTGATTCCTTCACGGGCACAGCTTACCCACCTCAGCACGAAGACTGCTGTGCCTTTTCCCAGCGGTTTTGGGGATGGAGGTAGTCGCATATTTTTTTTTCTGGCTGTTTCTGTGCCACAATCTCTTCCCGACGGTGCTAAAAGACATAAAACCCCCCGGTTATTTCCAGAGCGATCCGCTGACGCCATGTGCTTTACTGGAAGCTGCTCTTGAGGGCACTTGCGACTTGCTTAGCAGCCGTAGAAGGCTGTAAGCCACGTCGAGTCCGCAGGGAGCAATAATCAGGTTCGTTAGAGCTGTTTAAAACACATTAGTCCTTCCTGACGGCTTCGTTAGCTCTTTGCTTGTGCATCTGGCGCAGATTTTAAGCGGCGTTTCTCCTTGGTGGAGCTTTCTCGAGGTTGTTTTGCGCATGGGGGTCAGTGAGCGGCCGTGCCTCGAAGGACCCCTTGATTTTGGGGACAAAGACGTCCGGGCAGCTTAAGGGAAAATTACGGGGTTGTACGTCGGAGGTGAAGATGAGATCTCGCACTGAATGTGTCCTGTGGTCCCTCTCTGTCCCCATAGCGCTCAGGGAGCACTTTAAAACCCGTTTCACAACGTTTTTTTGGTGCCGAAGTCAAATCCTGGTGCGTTTCTCACCCAGCCCCGGAGCCCTCCATTAATTTGCAGTTAAAAGACACACATTATTGTTTTGGGGGCTGATTACCCCTTTTTTCCCAAAAAAACCACTGAAATCAAGCTGGCGGGAGAGAAATAAGTTGGACAACCAAACTCTTTTTGGGTTTGTTTTACCATAAATGCCAAGTTTTCTTCCTCTGTGCAGTCCTCCTCTTGGCAGAGCTTCACCTGGATGTTAAAAGGAAGATTTAGGGCTCCGTGTTGTTGCTTGTCGGGGTGCAAATTGAGGAATCGAGAGCGCCGCGGTGATTTAGGAGGAAATTAAAAGCTCTGGGAAGGATTTACATCTCCAAACTCCGGGAACGTGACAGTCGTCTGCGCCTGAGCCTGGGATTTGGGCTCCCTCTGCAGTCAGCAGAGAGAAAAAGGCATTTTGGAACCTTAATTGCTGCTGGGACACCGTTTGCCCTCCCGAAATCACTGCTGTCACACCAAGTGCGGTGAGACAAACCCCATTTCTCCGTCACAGGCTGACCGGGCTCTGTAAGGAAACAACCATGGCGATCCTCGTTTGCATTTAATATTTACCAATATCGTCTTCTTTTCAGTTATTCCCTCTCTGCCTGATAATTTCTAGCCGTCTCCCCACACACGTCCGACTTTTACTTGCGCTGGAATAAAAACTCCGCGACGAAGCCGTTTTTTCTCCCGTCTCCTTTTCCTCTGTCGGGCGAGATATTTCACGGACCGCATGTGCTTCCTCGCAGGCGACCCAGGCATCTTTCGGCTCGTTATTCGCTTATCTAAATTAGCCGTCTCTGGAGCGTGGGTGATTACGGGGCTGCTTGGGCTCTGCGTGGTCGTTCCAGCCGTTATTAAAGTCCCGAGATCAATATATATTGATATAAACAACGCGTACACCTCTTCTCCCAGCACTGGGGAGGGGAAAACTCGGTTTTCAGCAGCCAAACAGACTCTGGGCTCTTCCCCTCTCCCTTCCACGCGCGGTGGGAAGATCTCGCCGTGCCAATTACCGTAATTAAAGCTGCGATGTGGCTGTCGCAGCCTTGACGGTCTCCGGTTGAAGGAGGAGGCGGAGGGATGTGGCACGAAGAGGTCGTGCTCTTAGAAGAGAGGATGGGGCGCAATTAATGCGCTTAAGGAAACCGGAGAGATGCCCGCCGCCGCTTGAATCCATTAGTAACGCGTAGATGCCAGCACGGGCTTCTCACAAAAGCCTTCAGGGGCATGAAAAATGCCGAGGGGATCTCTTAACGATGCCGCATTTCATCCGCCGGCAGCGAGGAAGGCTGTAACCGCCTGTCGTGGCGGTCCCCGCGTCTCTGTGCTTTTGCTGGACGAGGGGACGTCTCTGTCCTCCGCAAATAACGCGTGAAGTCACGTCTTTGCCTTGCGGAAGAGAGATTTCGGGCTGTGTTTCCCTCCGATCGGGAGCTGGGGAAGAAACGCAGTGTTTCCCTTTGCCGGCGGCCGCGCGGCGGGGCTGGAATTGGGGCTCGGGGTGGTTGCGGGGTGAGCTTTGAACCTCTTTTCGCCCCACAGCCTCGGGGAACAGTACTACAGGGATGCCATGGAGCAGTGCCACAACTACAACGCCCGGCTGTGCGCCGAGAGGAGCGTCCGCCTCCCTTTCCTCGACTCCCAGACCGGGGTGGCCCAAAGCAACTGCTACATTTGGATGGAAAAACGTCACCGAGGGCCGGGTACGCCGGGAAAACGCCAGGCTGGGGACGAGGGGGCGGCGGGTATTGTCACCTTGGATAATTTTGGTGCTTTTGATTTTAATTAAAGGTTTAGCCGCCGGGCAGCTTTACTCCTACCCCGCGCGCCGCTGGCGGAAGAAACGCCGTGCTCATCCTCCGGAGGACCCGAGGCTTTCCTTCCCTTCTATCAAACCAGGTAAATCCTTCCCACCGCTGCTTTTTACACGCAGTAAGGGGGGAGTTTTGGGGCGATATCGTGCGGAAATGGTAAACATGTGTGGTGAAGGGTAGTAAACCCCTTCGCCTCACCCTGCTGCGGCGGGGAAGCTTGCGAGCGCGGCTGGGTAAGATGGATTCTCAGCGCGTGCCACCGTTCCCCCCGCTGATTTTTTTTCTTCCCTTTTTCTCCCCCCGCCGGCTCCTGCAGACACTGATCAGACCCTGAAGAAGGAAGGGCTGATCTCTCAGGACGGCAGCAGCCTGGAAGCCCTGTTGAGGACCGATCCGTTGGAGAAACGCGCCCTCCCGGACCCCCGCATCGACGACGACAGCCTGGGCGAGTTCCCCGTCACCAACAGCCGTGCGCGGAAGGTACGGCAGAGAGTGGAGTTCCCCCTCTGCGTTGGGAGAGGGACTTTTGGGGTAAAACACACACATCTCCATGCCGCCGCTCTGATTTTCCACCCCCTTTCTCTTCCCCTCTGCTTTCTCCGCGTCTTTTCGCCGCAGCAAAAGGATTTGGGATGGATTTTGGGGTGGCAACCTGCTCGGTTGGGCTACCGGAGAGTGGGAGGACAGGGTTTGGCTCCTACGGCAACATCGTGTAGATGTTCCCTTCCTCACGGTCCGGTTAGAAACTCCCAAACTTCAAGGCAAGGGAGTTTCTGGCCCCGGAATTCGTGGGGGGGAGAGTTTGTGGCCCCACAGTTCAGAAAAGAGGGAGTTTGTGGCCCCAAAATTCAGGGGGAAGGGAGTTTGTGGCTCCACATTTCAGAAAAGAGGGAGTTTGTGGCCCCAAAATTCAGAAAAGAGGGAGTTTATGGGTCCAAAATTCATGAGGGAGGGAGTTTGTGGCCCCACAATTCAGAAAAGAGGGAGGTTGTGGCCCCAAAATTCATCGGGAAGGGAGTTTGTGGCCCCAAAATTCAGAAAAGAGGGAGTTTGTGGCCCCACAATTCAGAAAAGAGGGAGGTTGTGGCCCCAAAATTCATCGGGAAGGGAGTTTGTGGCCCCAAAATTCAGAAAAGAGGGAGTTTGTGGCCCCACAATTCAGAAAAGAGGGAGGTTGTGGCCCCAAAATTCATCGGGAAGGGAGTTTGTGGCCCCAAAATTCAGAAAAGAGGGAGTTTGTGGCCCCACAATTCAGAAAAGAGGGAGGTTGTGGCCCCAAAATTCATCGGGAAGGGAGTTTGTGGCCCCAAAATTCAGAAAAGAGGGAGTTTGTGGCCCCACAATTCAGAAAAGAGGGAGGTTGTGGCCCCAAAATTCATCGGGAAGGGAGTTTGTGGCCCCAAAATTCAGAAAAGAGGGAGTTTGTGGCCCCACAATTCAGAAAAGAGGGAGGTTGTGGCCCCAAAATTCATCGGGAAGGGAGTTTGTGGCCCCAAAATTCAGAAAAGAGGGAGTTTGTGGCCCCACAATTCAGAAAAGAGGGAGGTTGTGGCCCCAAAATTCATGGGGAAGGGAGTTTGCGGCCCCAAAATTAGTGGGGGAGAGAGTTTGTGGCCCCACAATTCAGAAAAGAGGGAGTTTGTGGCCCCAAAATTCATGAGGGAGGGAGTTTGTGGCCCCAAAATTCATGGGGAAGAGAGTTTGTGGCCCCAAAATTCAGAAAAGAGGGAGTTTATGGGTCCAAAATTCATGAGGGAGGGAGTTTGTGGCCCCAAAATTCATCGGGAAGGGAGTTTGTGGCCCCAAAATTCATGGGGAAGGGAGTTTGTGGCCCCAAAATTCA